AAGTAGTAGTAGTAGTAGTCAGGCCAGAAAAGAGTTAAGGTATAACTATCCCGTGAACGTTAATTGGGGCACTTGCGGTCTTCAACATGCGGACGACAGACCCTGTCGTCTTTAGTAAAGCTCACATCTTGTTAAAGATTACGCATATGGTCCTCTAAACTAAACAAGGGAAGAAAACATCCTGCTCAATTAATAAACGTGTTTCTCTGCATAACCCTAGTAGGGGTAAATATTCATCTGTCCTAGCCCTGACAGTAGCTCTAACATGGACCTAAACCGTAGTCTTACTCGGAACCCTAGACCTAGTTCAGTTCAGTTTTATTAGGGGAATATAGGTAAATACCTTTGAACTCCCTCTTTGTACATAGCTAATGCAGAACATGTGGCGTTGCCAGTAATGGACCTGAGGTAGGGGGGCTGACAGAAAAAAACTCCTTAGGCATCATTCATAAGTCTAGTTTCGAATGCCATTTGTGGGATTTTAAGGAGAAAACTGTCGCCTGTGGGGGGGGAGGGCGAAGGGAATATGTAAGTCGGATGTCCTGCTGCTGAAAGTGTCGAAGGAAACATGTACATCGGATGTCCTGCTGCTGAAAGTATTTGGATCAAGTCAGGAGGAGGCCATCGCGGTTAATGGGCTTGCCGCGACCTTAATGGTAGCCTTAAACCTGATCCTAAAAGTAATCCTAAGGACAAAGTTAAGTCCATTTTACCTGGAATTTGGCGCCATCACCTTATCGTTGACAGTTTCCGTTCTCATTTTCCGTTAAGGGAGCCATAGAAGTTAACCTTACCAACATATTCTATCTGATGTAGTGAGGGCATCAAAATATAGCCACATGAGCAGGCGTTTGACCCGAGAAAAAACTACAGACGCCGGCGAAGTTAATTATGAACATGAATTGACAGTATTGTCCTAGTTGGACACTATAGAGAGAGGGGTTGCCTGGTGGACAAGCGACGCAAATTGAGGCAGAGAACGACCGCTTGCCCGTGGCTGACACGCTGACCTTGACAACCCTAGGTCCATTAGGACTGTAAGGAAACCCGACAGTTAAAAATGGCGATGAGGGAAGGTTCAGGAAAAAGATGAATACGTTCGACTTTTCCAAACAAGACAAGAGGGAGTTTTAGTATTTGTCCCTTTGGCTAGGCGGGCGACATCTAGGTCACAAAAACTACGGGAGGCTGAGGTGGCGAACACTGGATTAACCTAGCAGAAGGCTGCACAGATCGTGTCAGACTACTTTACATATAAGAAGGTAAAAACGGTGTAATTTTTACAATCAGAATGTTTTAGTGGCATGCTATGGCAGGTGAGAAAAAGAGATGAAGACTCGATGGCTGGAATAGCAACTTTATCTCGCAGACGTTCTGAGTCTATCCGAAAGTCTATCATGCGCGACAGCAAACTAAAAAAGCGAAGTACAAACAGAGAGATCGTGGTTTTTACAGTATCCACCTGCTACAAGGCAATGTAGTTGCTAAACTAAGTTCTTCTGTACTGATCGTTGTGACACCTCCCGTGCAGAGTGGGTGAGGGCGCGGCAGATTCTGCTGGAGTCTGTTTTAATATGAATAATTGACGCAAGAGG